TATATCGTCATCCAAGCACAATGTGGAAAAATGTTTGGAGTGAGGCCAAATGCGCACAAACACATGAGCTTCAGGACTTTCAACTTCCTCAACATCAATGATACTAGAGTCAATAAAATTTATATCCTCGAAGTTCTTGGCTGACTCTAGTCTCACTTCTTCAACATCGACATCCTCAAATTTAGTTGGCTAGGTGGTTGATGTTCTACTCTGACCTCCTCAATTATCACCTCAAATTCACGCTCCTCTTTGCTACTATCCATAAAATTGCCTTGTTGAGCATTAAAAGCTTCAACTAGTTGACTCACTTGTGCCTCCAGGTTGCGAATAGTAGCATCTTTCCTTTGTATGTGCAGTTGTTTCTCATTATTTTATTCCACAAGGCACCTTACCATCTCCTTGATCTCTTTCAGGTCATCATCCCTGGGTACTTTGTTCCTATTAACTTCGCAAGAAAAAGAAGAACCGTCAAAGTAAGGGATTGGGGGAAGATAAGAAATATAAGCACAACCATGAAAGTGATCATCTTGACCACCACACATATCACATACATTCCACGCATAAAATTGAGTTTGTGCACGTAACTCGCTCTCGGAAATATTTTAAAAATTTTGCCACGGGTGATTTTCTCCACAATATGCATAAGGAGGATTAAAAGTAGAATTACCAACATCAAAACTCTCATAATTCCAAGATGCCATATTTTTTATAAAAAAAAAATTAACAAGTAAAATATAAAAAAAAATCAAATACAGAAAATAAAAATAAAAGTTCAAACTTGAAACCTAGCAATATGTACACCTACAGCTACACCATTAGTTCCCCGACAACGGCGCCAAAATTTGATCACGCCCAACTCTAGTCCTAAAAAGGATAAGCGGTCGCTGTAAATATAATCCGATCTAAAAGTCCGGAGTTGAATCCCACAAAGAACTAAGGCCTAGCTATAGCTGTTTAATATCACTAAGAAGACAAGTTTGAATAATTTTCTAAATTATAAAAATTGAGATTTATATTTCTAACTAATTAACTAGCAAATACTAGAAAGTGGTAAAATTATCAACTAACGAGACAAATGGTTGGAGACTAAATTAAGGAGGTCTAGAGTTATGATTTTTCTAATTATAGGAATCCTTCCCGCTATGTTCCCTGCATTTTCGCCTATGTATTCTCTACTGATCATGAGTACTTTAGGTGCCGTAATTCTCTCTTGAGCAACTACAACAATTTACTAGGCATATTTTCTCGAACTACGCTAGTTGGCTTTATCTAACCGCTTATTATGACCACGTCAAGGCTTTGTTATTTCTAAACCTACCTTTAAACCTGCTGTATTGATTTCTCATATACGTTAGGAGTGACGTTGTTCAACAACCACCTAAATATATATCTGTTCTCAAGCAACACATAATAAATAGGCACAGTCAATCGATGGCCATTCAATCAACTGAAATAAGCACGTAGTTGAACAAATAGACAAATTCAAATGTTAAATTATATTAAAACATAACAAGAATTCATCCTCCAAGAGGTTCCATCAAAACCCTAAATAATAAATTAGTTACTCATAATAGCATGTAAAAACTACAATACTAAAAGTCATAACCAATAATGAAAAGTAGGAAGAAGAAGGAAAAAACTCGTGGTTGAATCTTCCTCCTTGCTTCTCGCGTATTCTTGCCTCCTTAGGTCGAATCCTCAATCTCCTTAGCCTCCTTAGGTCTAAATTATGTCAAAAAGTATGTCAAAAGTATGTCAAAGGTCCTCAAAATACCGTTTATCTATGTATATATACCAAGTAGGGTCGGGCCCAAATAATTATACCTTCTCCTACGCGAAAAAGGACACTTTTTCAAGTCCAGACGTCCGCGGCCGCGGATTTTACCCAGTGTTCTGCCTCACATCCGCGGTTACATCCGCGGCCGCGGATTCGACCGCAACTTTCACCATGTTCTATTTGGAATTTGAGAAAACGTAAAACATAAAAGTTGTAGACCTTTGAATTAAATTTTCAACCATATATTGTGGAACTCAAATGGAGTTTTGAGCGAAAAGTTATGTGCATTTTACTAGACCATGTGTAATATGCCTACTCGATTCTTCGTTCGTTCTTAACTATCATCCGTTGATCCCCGAACACGATCCCGGCTTAATTCTTTGGGATTTTACTTAGACTTCAAAGCTCCAAATCACTTGAATTCATTCCCTAACATCTACATAGCTCGGAATCACTCCTACAAGGCATAAAACACACAATTAGTGCAAAACACTAGCGATTAAAGCTCAAACTCAATTAAAGTGCAGTAAATTAGAGTGTAATAAGCGACTAAAATACGTAATTATAGCCTATCATCAGTTTCCTTTCGGTCGTAATCATCCTAAAATCAGCAAATTTCTATCTGTAAACACCTTCTCGTAGTTGCCAGGTACAACTTAAAATTAGAAATTTCTTTTGTTAATCTTGCGATTTGATTAACTATATATGCTGAAAGCTATACGCTCCCCTTTTCTCAAATAACAGTAAGCTTCAAAAATACTAAATTAGTCTGATGTGGGTTAAAAGTGGCCATTTTTAGTTATTTGGAAATTGTTCCTGTCCAGATGAAAATTAATTGTTTGGCTGATACTCACATATTTCAATTCTGTAAGATTTTATGTGAGGTTACCAAATTTCCATTAGAGGCATAAATTAAAGGAAAAATCACATGACACATCAAACATATACATTTTACAGTCAAACCTCTATATAACAACGTCGTTTGTTCCGAATATTTTTGGATGTTATAGCGAAGTGTTGTTATAGAGAACATATATTATAACATAATATAAAAATTGGTTCCGAAAAAGCTTGGCTTTTATAGTGAAGTATTGTTATATAACGATGTTGTTATAGAGAACATATATTATAACATAATATAAAAATTGGTTCCGAAAAAGCTTGGCTTTTATAGTGAAGTATTGTTATATAACGATGTTGTTATAGAGAAATCTAACTGTATTTACCATTCATAGCTGTATTTTTAGAAAATTATCATTCATAGGTATATTTGAATTTTATAGCAAATCCATGGAATTAAAGTACTGAAATAAGAGATCAAGTATTTTGAGTTTAAACAAGATTGTAGCTCAGTTAGTTAGACTACCTGCTTTGTAAGTGAATATTTCGTTTTGGTTGTATTCATTATGCGTCTTACTACAAATGATACAAACTGATAACAATTATATATTGAACAGTAATTATAAATGATAATTAGGTAAACTATATTACAAATGGTAATTAAAGTCTAAATTATAGTGTTTTATAAAAATTCTTCTAAATTAAATTAAGGGAGTTAACTAGCAGTCTCCACACAAGGTCCGGTAACATTGTGCGAACAAGAACATTTTTTATATCATTAAGAGCTATAAAAAGACAGAGGAGTATCGTGTTTTTTCGACCGACACAATATGTTAATGTACCAATCGACAAATTTCAATTTGATGGGAAAATATAATAAAGTAAAAGTTAAAAAAAAAAAGAAGCCAGAAACGCTTTTGTGGTAGGAAGAAGCTGGTGACATCTGGCCATACCTTGCCTGAAGAGTAGGTAAATTGAGAACAAGTGAGTAATAAGAGAGAAAGCAAGATTCACAATTTAGGATCACAAGCTTTCCATGAAATAACATTCAAGTCAATTCACCAACAAAGAACTTAGGGGTCTTTTCGTTCACGAAATAGTTATACAAAGATTATAATATATCCAATCTTTTATGTTACGAATAACAAAACAAAAAATTATTATACGATGAATAATAATATAGTGATATTACATTGTTATGCATTGATTACTTTAAGAAATTTTTATCTTTAGTTATTTTCATTCATATATTGCTAATGTACGTATCTTTATAAAGAATTAACCTAAATAGTCACTCACCCAACCACTTAAACTACAAATAATTACAAAATATATAATATATGTATATAACCGTATATAATCAATGTAAATTCTATATATATCAGCGAGAAAAATTAAATAATAAACCAACCAAATATGTGTACAGATCCTTTTTTACTTTTTTTCACATTCAAACTCGAACAAAATAATGCACATATTCTCGCACTAACTTGTATCTGCAATCATTGTATTAAGTTTACAATTATAGGTTTTCTCTTGTATGACAAACTAAACTTAATGTAATTACTTACGTAATACTTTATGTTTAAATTATTTTTATTAATGCAGCAAACAAAACGATCAGAAAGTAACCTTAACACAATTTAAAAAGCTAATTACGTAAAATCTCTATAAAAAAAAAGCTATCCACAAACCACCGAACCGAATACCCCTTTACCATTCATAAAGTAACCTTAACACAATTAAAAACTCACCGAACGTCTTAAATTTCCTCTCAAATATTATAGTTGTCTCAATCAAACATTACAATCTCCTATCTATAAGAGCATATAAATAGAGGTGGTTGCGTGCCACTTACCTATCTATATATAACTATCTCGATTGTGATTTGTGTGTGTCAGTGTCACCTTCTTCTAAATAACGACAACAGCCATACCAAATACTATGTCTAGTGGACCATTTAGAATCGAAACAAAAAGAATCCCTTTCGAAATTTCAAAAAATATCGCATCTAAATCCATACACTTATTTTAAAGTTTATATAAATATAGCATTCAAATGCATGCATTGCTAAAGTAGTCCCCACTTCCCCACCATCCCTCACTCTTCCCAAGTAGTAACTCAGAAGCCCAACTTTTTTTTCTCCACAATAATCATTTGAAACGCAGAGTAATGACTTAAAAAAGCTCCACGCTCTGCTAAAATAGGCCGGCTTTATTTGTACCCCAACAGTATTCTTGACTTACAAACAAGAAACGAACATTTTTCTAGTGTCTGTCGCCTGCAAACTTATACCTCTACCTTCCATTTGTCTCCTTCTTTATAACTGTTCCTCTTTCAAGTACTTCTATATTGACAGGACTCAACCTTTTAGTAACAAAAAATGGAAAGAAAATTTGTGAGGGAAAGTGAAGAGATTGTTCTTCTCAAAGAAACAGAAGAAGAATTAGAAGAAGATGATGAAGAAGAAGAAGCATTATCTCTATGTGATCTTCCAAACGACGAAGAGAACCAAACGAAGAAAGAAGCATCTGGGGTTAGTGAATTAGTCCAAGAAGACTTTGATTTTGGTGGTAATTTGTTGATGAAAGAGTCAGAAATGTGTACGGCAGATGAAGTTTTTTACCAAGGCCAAATTTTGCCACTACGTCATTCAATTAGTTTGCCAAATGATAGCCGTAATAGTAGTACGATTCGGTTCATGTCAAGGTCAGAGTCAATGGAGGAACATTGTCATGACACAAATTCAAGCAGTAGAAGTAGCAGTATACGAAGCCAACGTTCATCTAGCAGTGGTAGTTCTTCAAATATTAGCACTCCAATATGTTCCAAATACAAGCCTAGGATTCGAAATCAATTCCATTCACATCCTAGTCCAACACCCCAGGTTCGATTTTCAAAGGTTGTTCAATCAAACGTTAATAATTCAAGTCGAAAATCGACACTGTGGAGTCTATTTCGTGTTGGTCTAGTGACAACACCTGAAATTGCATTACAAGATCTTAAAAGTCGAAGCAACAAGGATTATTCGGGAAGTCGAAATAGCACGAGCAGTAGTAGCAGTGGTATGAGTAACTATGACAATAAGATGAGATCAATTATACTAAGCAAGAAAAAGAAACAGAGGTTTTTTCTTGGTAGCTGCAAATGTTCAGCAAATGCAGTAGAAACAGTTCCTTCAAATGTTGTGATCATGAACAGGAACGGTATAATTACGAAAACAAGAAAGGCTACAGAGGTCCATGAACATGAAGATAAGAAGGATGTAACAGAGAACATGAAAGTGACAAAAAAGCAATCAATGTCACGTCATCGAACGTTTGAATGGTTAAAGCAACTTTCACTAGAAGGTCCAGCTGATGAAATATAAAGATCATTTCAAAGTGTTACGCATGCTTAGTTTGGTTTTATTATACTACCTTTTTTTTTTCTTCTTTATTGATAATGTAATGTAACTTTATTTGTTACGTGCTTAATTAGATTGGTTTTTTGTTGTTGCTTTTGAGTAGTGGATTCGTGAAGTTGATTAACTGGAAATTGGTTGAATTAATTGAGGACGCAATTGTAATGTAAGAAAGAACTAAAACTAAGATGTTTGATGTGAATTGTGATTAAATAATGGCCGTTCTTTTTTTCTTTTCTTTTTTTTCTGTTTGAGTAAATTAATAATTGAAGAAGGGAGCAGTAATGAGTGGAAAGCTGAGAGGTGTTGTGAATAGAGGTGGGAATTTTGTGGCGTGGATGATGTTATTGCTCGTCATGATTAAAGTGTGAACTTTTATGAAATCTTTTACTACTTTGGGAATTTTTATCTCCGTTCTTTTTGCTCTATTTCAAAATTTTCTTCAACCACGACACTGATATATAAGTACTTCCGTACATTTATTTTTACTTGTCCAATATTCTAAAAATAAATTTTTACTTTTATTTGTTACTTTTAGTATATCAAGAGAGACAATTTTTTTTCTGTTATATCCACAGTATTAATTATTCATTTTAGATCATTTTCTCAAATCAATTAAAATATGCGTCAATTAATATGATTAATCGGGTATCATGATAAATTATACACTTTATTTATTATTTCTTAAGAGGTGTGCAAAGTTAACAGTAGACAAGTAAAAGTGAACATAGAGAGTACTTGGGTATGGGTAAACCATAGATGTCAAGTTTGTTATCCAAGAACACATGATAATATTTAGTTCACCTAACTTTTTCATATTGTAATTTATGTTGAAAATATAAATAAGAAGAAAATCATAAATTTAAATTCTAACGGGGTGAATGCCCAATGGTCAAAATTAAAATGAAAATTGAGATATTTCATTGAAGTTCAACAAACAATATTATTAAATGTACAACGACCGCGGAATAGCACTAAAGGCTTAACTTTATTAAACCATTATAAATTGTTTAGTACCTGGGGACTATATATATATTCTCCAGAATAAAGACTTGGCTAACAAGGACTGATTAAGATTGAACAGTTCCTGAAATTCTTGGTTGTATTTGCAGTTAAACATTTCGTTTTCGTTTTCGTTTTCGTTTCTCAAGATTCGCCGAATCGATTGTCCTATGATATATACTCTATATTTGAATAGGTTGTATACGTTCGAAATAGATTTCGGTATTAGCACGTCCGATCGAGTTCGAACGGTAATTTATCGAAGTAAGATTTCGAAGGGGGAACAAACTAACCTCGAACCCGGGGAGGCCGATCCGTGTCGAGTTCGATATCATTATCAAGCTCGAATAAGAATCGAACCATGATGCAGAGTAGACCTATCATGCTAATAATCCAGAGAACAACCAACATTGACCTAGAATCAATTCGAGGGCTCGAACCAGGATCGGGCTCGAACCAAGATCACAAGTTCGAGCCGAAATCAAGCTCAAACCAAAATCGAGGGTTCTAAGCCAGATCGAGCTCGCAGACAAAAACCGTTGCAATCCCATTAGAGAGAATCTTAGCAGAAATTATGAAAAAACTAACTTATCATGGGTCTCCCACTGAATGTTTATTTTATTATGCTTAGAGCCAAATCCCTCCACTATAAAAGGGTTTGGTTATCATTTCTGTAGAACAAGTTTTTCAGAGGCTTACATTGTAATAAAAGTGTTATATTCTTCTACAGTAAAAAATCGCTCTTTCAGGCTCCTTAGATTGATTCTATTTGTCGAATCCTAAGGTTCATTGTTCCTAATAACCTTATCTATTTTGCATTCTCTCCAATCTATATTTATATTTTTATTTATCCTTGCATTTTGTATTAAGTTACGCCACTTATCCTCGGAACTGCGTATAAATTCAACTCTATCCATTTTTCGGGTAAACAGTTTGGCGCCCACCTTGGGGCCGAGGATAACAGTGGTCATTTGATACGAATCTGAAAAAATACGCCATTGTGCTTTGCACTTATTTCCGAAAATATCTTGAATTTCAGATAAGCTACGAATAACCACCAATCAAATGGCTTCACCAATCGATTACGAAGCCGGCCTTCAAGATGAAATCAACAACTTGGCACCCGAGGCTCGGATCGAAGTACCCGAAATTCGAGCCGAAATACCATTGGATGTCAATTCACAAATAGCTTTGGAGGCGAACCAGCGTTCCGAACCGGAAACAAACATTATGGGCGGTACTCGATCCGTAGGCCGNCGGCCTTCAAGATGAAACCAACAACTTGGCACCCGAGGCTCGAATCGAAGTACCCGAAATTCGAGCCGAAATACCATTGGATGTCAATTCACAAATAGCTTTGGAGGCGAACCAGCGTTCCGAACCGGAAACAAACATTATGGGCGGTACTCGATCCGTAGGCCGAGACACCCAAAACGCGGGGGAAATCGGGGCCAGCTTACGTATAATCTTCGAGATGCTGCAAGCCCAACAAGTAGCGATAGCTCAGCTACAGAGCCAAACTCGCGCACAAAGCAGGCCAGATTCCAATCCACTTCAAGAAGTCACCCCCAGAACAGAGCCCGCCATAGTGAAATCTAACGAGCAAGAATAGGGACTACTCCCGGAATTACTAAATTGCTAGAGGAACTCACAAAACGAGTCGAAGCCAATGACAAGAGGGTGGAAACGTACAATGCCAGGGTCGATCAAATCCCGGGGGCTCCACCAATGATAAAGGGGCTTGATTCAAAAAACATTCATACAAAAGCCTTTTCCGTCGAGTGCGGCATCGAAGCCAATCCCCAAAAAATTTCGTATGCCCAAAATTTCCAAATATAACGGTACGACCGATCCTAACGAACATGTCACCTCTTACACATGTGCCATAAAAGGCAACGAGTTGGAGGGCGATGAGATCGAATCCGTGTTTTTGAAAAAGTTCGGGGAGACCCTCTTGAAGGTAGCAATGATCTGGTACCACAATTTACCGCCGAATTCCATCGATTCTTTTGCCATGTTAGCAGATTCATTCGTAAAGGCACATGCTGGTGCCATAAAAGTTGCAACGAGGAAATCAGACCTCTTCAAAGTAAAGCAAAGGCAAGATGAAATGCTGAGGGAATTCGTATCCCGATTTTAAATGGAACGTATGGAATTACCCCCGGTCACAGACGATTGGGCCGTACAAGCCTTCACCTAAGGGTTGAACGAGCTAAGTTTGACAGCATCACATCGGCTAAAATAAAATTTGATCGAGTATCCAGCGGTAACTTGTCAAATGTACACAACCGATATCAATCAAAAATTAGGGTCGAGGATGATCAGTTGGGAGCCCCGTACGGAACCGTTCATCAGAACAGGACAGTTATTAAAAACCAAAAGGAGATCGACAGAGAACAAAGGTCGAACAGAGACCGATATCGACCGTACGTTGCAGATCGGGTGAACAACGGTTCAGCACGCAACACAGTTCGAAACAATCGAAGGATTGATCGAGGACAAAATTATCAGGGGCTTATGAGTAAGAGCGGCTTCGATAAATATGCCGATCCTATAGAAGCACCTCGATT